CTCACACAGCAATGTGGTTTTACATGTTATTTTCAGGTTTAGTGGCAGAGGCGTGACTGTAAAATCCCACCTGCTGAGAGAGGCATGACTGTGATGTCATATTTTCAGAAGAGATACTGAGTTCTTTTAACCACGAGTCACATGCCCAGGTCAGCTTGGTACACATTTAGTGAGTGGCTGAGTTGTTTTGGGCATCTAGATTTGTGTTTTACTGAGCTCCAGACAGTTGAGGTCTGTTACTCTTCATTGAGTACCTGCTATGTGCCAGGCCCTGAGGATGTATCCAGGAAAGAGATATTAAAGGCATAAAAATGATGTCTATGAAATAGTGATTAAGTACTACCAAGAAGACTTATCTGGGGATTGGAAACAAATCAAAGTTGGAGTTCAGGAAGGCTCCCTGAGAAACCCTGACTAGCTCCTCTGTTTCCACCCGAAGAGGAGGAATAATCTCATCCGAAGAGGAGGCTGGCACTCCGGAACACACCTTGCCACTCGTGAGAGTTTCATGCTGTGATCTTTGCAAATCAGGAAGTGAAAGTGGCTGGGGAATTTTATTTTTATCTGTCCTTAACCACTTGGAGGCCAAGTAGCAGAAGTTTTAAACCCACAGGCTTTGAGGACAGCCAGATGGAGGTCTGAAACCCAGCCCTGTCACTAATCAGTTGTGTGACCTTAGGCAAGCAATGTTACTTCCAGAATCAACTTATCAGTATTTGAGATACTGGTGAAACTAGGTGGCAGTCATCAGATCTGGGTTCATTGTCTTGCAAAATCCAAGAATGAGTCACAGACAAAGGGGTAAGTGAGAGCAAAATTTATCTGAGAAATATTAAGACTCCCTGCGGAAGGGAGGGGACCCAAGTGGGTTGCCGGTGAAGCTCCTTGGTCTAGGAGTAGATATATGCTTTGCTAACCTCTGATTGGTCCTCTCAAAGAATTCTGCCTTAGCAACATCCATACATTTTAAAGCTTGTGTTTCCCACCTAATTAAGGTTGTCCTAGGTCATCTAGCTCTAAATTCATATTACCCTTCTGGAAAAAGCATGTGTGGGCATCACTGATTTAAAAAAAGCTCTCCCTGCCCTGGCCAGTTTGGCTCCGTGGTTAGAGCATCGGCCAGCGGACCAGAGAGTCCCCGGTTTGGTTCCCGCTAAGGGCATGTACCTTGGTTGCAGTTTGTCCCTGGTCCTGTTGGGGTCGTGTGGGTGGCAACCAGTCGATGTGTCTCTCTCACATCGATGTTTCTCTCTCTCTCTTTCCCCTTCTCTCCCTCCTGCTCTATCTGAAGATAAATGCAAAAAATGTCCTCCGGTGAGGATTAAAAAAAAAAGCTCTACCTATCAGGTGAATTGGAGCAGATTTGATTAGCAAAGATGTATATTGTCCCATAACATTCCCTAATTGGAAGTGGACAGTTTTAGATTTTAAAACAGACATTGATTAGCTATTCCTGACATTTGCACAGAAGCTTTACTCTCAGGGAGGAGACAGCTTAGTTGATTGTGGTTAAGAACAAATAAAGTAGCCCCAGGTATCTATAGGGGCCTTAGTGACTTCCCTTTTTATGATACTTTCAACTTCTCCCAGACTATTAGTGAGGAGGAGGGAAACGCCCTTGGAGCAACTCTATGCTTGCTTTTGGTTTATTTTCTAAATCCAATTTTGGTTTCCTATAACCTTCTTTAAGGTAACCTGGCTTTCTGCAATAGAAACACACTCCATAGTTTCGCAGTAGAACTCATTCAGCAATCTTGTTGCCTTGCTCCCAGAAACCAGTAGGTTTATTAATTGAAATAGGTCAGAATCGCCAGTACTATGTTCTTTAACAGGAAATAAAATTCATTTGCAAACCCATCAGAGTACCAGAATAAGGAACTATACAATCTCTGTTTCCCTCTTGCCTGAAACCAGCCTTTCTGAGTTGTTGTTGTTACATAATTGACCTGTGCTCCTTCCAAGAGCTTCTAATTTGTAACCAAGATAAGCCTTCATTTCTATAAGTCAGGAGTGTTAATGGGGGCTGGGAATTGCTGGCCTTTTAGACACATTTTCCCATGTTGACTTTAGTTTTATTTTGAGATCTGTGGAGTTCAAATAAACCTCCGGATATACTTTTTACTGGGTTCTGCCTGTGTGCCGAGCTCCAAATCCTTGTAAACTCCCCCAAGTGTCTCAGCCTTCCCTTTCCATGGTCCCGTCCCTTACTGCCTAACCTGCCTCTCTTTCTTTACTGGAAAGAACTAAAGCAGCACACTGAGGACATACGTAGAGCCCATGTCCTGGTAACTGGCTGACTTTCTGACCTGCATCTAAGATGGCTCTTTTAAGGTTTTGAGAGATGCAACTTACTCGAGTTTGTGGTCACAAAATGTCCTTTTATACAGGGTAGGGCAAAAGTCAGTTTACAGTTGTTTATACGGATAATAATACATACTTAATAAATAATAATACAAGAATAAACTGTGTTTTGCATATTCACAACTGTAAGCCTACTTTTGCACCACCCTCTACTGATGCACCAAGACATCCAGACACACAGTCTCCTAACTTGAAATGATGGGGTGGAGGGAAAGGGAACAGGGGAGAACAAGTGAAAAGAGCAGGTGCCACATTCGGACTAATATCACACCAGCAGAGAGGGTGGAGCAGATGGCACATGAAGACAAGTCTATCCCCATTGCGGAACTGCTCGTGTTCAGGGGGCTTCTGGGTCTGAAAGAATTGCAATGAGTTGAATGAAGTTGTAATCAAGCGAGAGCTTGAACTGCTTGCTGCATGACAGCCAGTAAGTCATGGAGTTGGTGCAAGGAAAGCAACTTTATTTTAAAAAGCCAGCAAGCCAAGAAGATGGCAGCCTAGTGTCCTAAAGACCCATCTTGAGAAAGTACAGAATTTAGGCTTCCTTTATGTCAGGGGAAGAGGGAAAATGGGAGGAATTCGGAGGCAAGAGGTGATTGGTGACCACAGACAGAAATCTGGATGTTAGGAAAGGTCCAAGCGGACGGTGAAAATTCTTTGCTATTGCTCAACAAATTCTGTCTGCCACGGTCCAGGCATGAAGTTCCTTTAAGTCTTTAAGTGAATAATCTACTTCTGTACACACTTCTTTATCTCCGTGGAGATGTAGTTTTAAGCAGAGTGGTTGTTTCAGGAATTTCTAGGCTACAGGTCAGAATCTAGTGATTGGTATACCTATGTATAAGACTAAGCAGAAGTTACTGACATGTTATGGGAACTGGACAGGCTCAAACAAGAGGGAGTCAGAAAGACGATTTTATTCTATTACAAAGTCATAATTTAGAGGAAATTCCAAGATATGTAAGTGTGCCTCCCACATGAGGCCCCTTCCATCTTCCTTGTCTTTGAGATCCAAATATGGCCATTGTGAGCCCCTGTTTAGAAGTACTGATTGAGCCCTGGCCGGTTTGACTCAGTGGTCAGCCTGCAGACCAAAGAGTCCCGGGTTCGATTCCAGCCAAGGGCACATACCTCGGTTGTGGTTTGTCCCCAGCCCTGGTTGGGGTTGTGCAGGTGGCAGCCAATCGATGTGCCTCTCTCACATTGATGTTTCTCTTCCTCTCTCTCTCTCTCCCTCCCTCCAACTCTTTCTGAAGATAAATGTAAAAATATCTTCAGGTGAGGATTAAAAAAAAAGAAGTACCAATTGAGCCGAAGGTAGGATGCAAATTCCAGAACTAACCTGACATTTCTGAATGTTTGCATGCAGGGCCAAACTCAGAGCAACTTTGGAGTCCACTGAGTTCTGTGAAAATGCATTCTCTCTCCCAAGGACTGCTGGGATCCAAGGTAGAGCCAGCATCTGCGACAGATATTTCTCTCTGCTGCCTGCATGTCTGGTCCCAGTTCATGGGCTGAACAGTGGTCACCTGGCCTGAGGGAGGCAGTGTGGAACCCGGGGGCCTGGGACCGAATCCAGTACCAGGCACCTGCATAAGCCCTCCGGGTTCTCTTAGATGGCAGTTTCCTCATCTAAAGAGGAGGCAATACCTCCCTTCAGAGTTGTGGAAGGACAGAAAAGTCGATATTTAATAAAGAAGAGCTATGGTTATTTTTAGAACAGAGTGATTTTCTTGTTGGAAAAGCAATACACAAATTATGAGAAACTTATAAACATGAACAGAACGAAGAAGAAAAAAATCCTTACCACCCAGAGAGAACAACCATTAACATATGGGTGTATATCCTCTCAAATCTGTTCCTCATGCCTACAGATACACATTTTTTTTTAATGGGCGGATATTTTGGTAACACTGCTTTTCTGCTACTGAGTGAATGTATCGTACACATCCCTGAGTACTCAGCACATGCATGGGTAGTAACCATTTTAATGACTGTAGACCATTCTGCAGTGAGACTGGTTCCATTATTTGGAAGCAATTACTCTTCAGGTGAGGGACAACCAACCACAGGCTTTGGCGTCCTGGGACCAGTTTTCTCCTGAACAAGCCTATGAAGATCTGGGGGTTGCATGCCCGCCCGCCCTGCCCCGCGTGAAGAATACAGAGAAAAACAGGGCAACCCACTGGAGAATAAAGTAGATAGTGTGTCCAAGAGTTTGGCTTAGTATGTGGCACATAAAACACGCTCAGATCCCGCCAGTGGTGTCCGAGGCTTTGTTGCTAAACTGGCCCTGAGCTCTTTTCATGGTCCTCTTAAAAGTCCTCTCTTGGACTTCTGTGGTTATCAGTCATAAACGACATCCCCCCATACACGGATTTACTGTTCCCACGCCACCCCCTCAGCCACCCCGGAACTGGGCAAGCAAACGAAGGGGACGCCCTGGGGGGCTATGAGCAGGGTCTGCGCGGGGAGCCGGGAGTCGCCCTGCTGCGCCCCGGAGCAACCCCGGCAGCGCCTGGGCCCACGAGGGGCGGGCCCGAGGCTCGGCCTCCCATTGGCTGTCGGCCGCGTCACCTGGCCGCCGGTGTGCCGGGAGGCGGGACCTGGCCCCTTCGGCGCGGCCGGAGAAGGGCTGACATGACCCGGGGTGGGCGCTTGGCCCTCCTGCTCCTGAGCCTGCTGAAGTCCGCTGGAGGTAAGGGTGCGGGGAGGGGAGGGGGCGCGCTCGCTCTCGGACCCCGAGCTCCGAGGAGGGAGGGGCGTGGACCGAGCCTTCCTGCAGCCTCCGCAGCGGAGTGCTAATTGCCCTGCCCACTCGCCACCACTGTTCTTCCAAGGATTAAATGGACTCGAATCTTTGAAATTCCTTTACGGGAGGAAACTGACCCCGTTTCCTAATGCCAGTTCAGTTTCCGGGGAACTGGAAAAAGGAGACTGTTTATAAAGTAGCTGCATTTATGTATAAAGTGCATTTCAAGGTCTAAAAGCGCTGTCTTCTGCATTAGTAAAGACCACGCTCGACCCTCACTAGTGGGGGAAGACAGATCGAAGCGCCCTGCCGGTCCCCGCCGTCCCCTCCTTCCTCCAGCTGAGGGTGTCAGATGCTCCACCTGGGCCCGGGGGAGAGGCCCTGGGGCTTAGCCTGTGCCCTGCTGTTACTCTGTCAAGCCACCTCTTCCTGAGCCCCCACTGGTGGGTAAATAAGGTGGCTGGGTGCAAAATACCACCAGCCCCAACCAATCCAGGGAGATGGTCCTGAAATTGTCCCCAGGATATTTTCCTAGTTTTAGACTCACAATTTAAGACCTAAAAGAGCCCTTGGGCATAATCTAATAATTATATTTAAAGCCAGTTTTCATTGAGCAACTTCTTTATGCTGGGCACCACATTATTCTATTTAACTTTATTAACCCAGCCATTCTATTACATGGATATTATGTTTCTCCGTTTTCAAGTGTAGAAACTGAGGCTCAGAGCAATTACTGGTATTGCTCAAGAAGGAAGGCAGAGGCAAGACACAGAACAGAGATGACAGGTTGAAGCAAGTATGGACAGCTTCTACTGTGGGGTGGGTAGCTGGCATAGGGCTGACCACCCACCCAGGTCAGTTCAGGAATGCCCAGCCACTGGTGCCTCCTAGCAGTGTTTTGTGTTTTTTGTGTGTGTTTTTTTTTTTTTATCCTCACCCGAGGATATTTTTCCATTTTTTGTACAGATAGAGTGGGAGGGAGAGAGAGGAAGGGAGAGAGAGAGAGAAACATCGACGTGAAGGGACACATCGAGTGGCTGCCACCCGCACGACCAACCAGGGCCGGGGACAAACCACAACTGAAGTACATGCCCTTAGTGGAAATCGAACCTGGGTCTCTCCGGACCGCAGGCCCACGCTCTAATCGCTGAGCCAAACTGGCCAGGGCTCTAGCAGTGTTTTTGCAGCTGATGAGGGACAGTGTGAGGGAGGGGAAAAGGGATCCTCTGTCCCCTGTTTCACTGTCAAATTCAGTACATGTTTGTCTAGACCTGACTACTTTCCCCGAGGGACTTTTAATTTATGCAACACAAACTGTGGTGTGTGATTTAGGGTAAAATTCACCTAGATCCAGGTTCAAATTCTGGCTCCCACATGAACTAGCTGGGTAGCCTCAAGCAAATTATTCATCATCTGTCTCCGAGCCTCGTGCCCCTCCATGGAAGGGAAATAACAGCTACCCCATCCGGTGGTTTGTCCTGAGGATAGATTGAGGTTTTGTGTATAAAATGCCAAACCCGTGCCTGGCACCTGTTGAAGGCTCAAAAGAGGGTAGCTACTCTAGCTGCTATTTTTCCACTGTGGCTAGGCTCAGACTTTGGCCCCCTGCCAGTCTTCTAGACAATCCAGAAGCTGGGAGCAGTGACAGCACCAGCACCCCAGCGATCTTTTTCCAACTTGAGGACCCAGGATGGGGTGGAAACAGGCACCCATATTTGGGCCTAAAAGGCCTGGGGTTAGGGAGCCCAGCGGAGAGCTGTCAGTAGAACTGACCCCTCTCTCCCTAATGCTGCTCTGTAACTTGTCTGGGTTTCTCTCATGGCCCAGGTGGCACTTCGGGGCACTGAATTCTCCATGGGGCCATGAGCTCCTAAAAAGCAGGAAGGGGGTTTTATTCTTCTCTGAAACCTCTGGCACACAGTGGTCAGCAGGTGTTGTTGACCAATAATGATCCATTGATGCTGGAAGAATAAAGCTGAACAGGCCCCATGAGAACCCAGAGGAGGCTTATGTGGCCAAGAGCCAGACTTTGGAGTTGGCTAGGCCTCTTTTTGAATTCTGATTCTACAACTTAGTAGCTGAGAGGGCCTCAGTTTCCTCATCTATAATGTGATGGTCATAATTAGGACCTACCTAGAGGGGTGGGGAGGATTGAAAGAGAAAATGCAGGCAATGTACTTAGCATAGTGCCTGGCACATCGTTAGGACGCAATATACATTGGCTGCTATCACCAGCAGCAGCAGCATCACCATCACCACCAATTCTTAGAGATGTCAGGAGACTCCCTGGAGGAGGTGACGTTGGAATTGAGTCATTAAAAGATTAGATGAAGAACACCAGGCAGTCAAAGGCACCCATAAGAATGCAGTGGTTTGAGAAGGTCAAGAAGGAAGATTGTCACAGCTTAATGAACGGGTGGGGAAGAGGTCAGCCAAATGATCCGACCAGGCCAAGCTGAGCAGGGCCTCATGTGCCCTGATAAGGACTATGGACTTTATTCTGAAGGCAAGGGAAGGGCATGAAGCTGAGCAGTTGTGTAATCAGATGCATATTTCAGAAAAAGAAGGTTAGCAATGAGAAGGAGGAGGAGCCAAGAAGGGAAAATAAAGGTGGTTAAAGAAATTGTCTCCAAGGCAGTGATACTTGCTGTTCACTTGCTATTTCCAAAGAGTGCCTGACGTTCTTTGGGAACAGCAGAAAGGCCAGTGTGGCTGGAGAAGAGGGAGCAGTGGGTCAGGTTGGATAGGGTCTCGTGGGTGATTGTAAAGACTGGATTTTACTTTGCGTGAAATGGAAGCCGTTAGAGGGTTTAAAGCAGGAGAGCGACCTGATCTGACTTTCATTCGAACTTTGGCTGTTGTGTGGAGAACAGACTGAGGAGACAAGGTTAGAAGCAGGGAGATCAGGTAGGAGGCCTTCAGAATAATCCAGGTTATCACAATATTTGTTCATTCACTCAACAGATGTTTATTGTGCATCTACTATGTGCAGTGACTATTGCAGACAGGCTCTGGGGACATGGCTGAGACCCAGTCAGAGTACCTTGCTCATTGAGACCCTTGGGGCTGTTCCCTCCTGTAGCCCAGGAGACCCGGGAGTCTGTTAGATGCTTCCTGCTCTGGGGGCTACTGGAACCCTCAGGTGTCAGAGTGGGAAGGCCTTCCTCTCAATGCACAGGCGGGCTGCTGAGGCCTGGGGAGGGTATGGGGCTGCAGTGCAGCCAGCCATGGCATGGCTGTCATGGGGATCCTGACCCCCAGGTTCCCAGCCTCCACCATGTTCCCCACGCTTCAGCCACCCGATGACTCCTCAGACTCCGTGAGCACGTGACTGCCTGCCATGCCTCTCTTCAGCTCCCAATGGCCAAAATCAAGACCAGCCAGGAGTTCCAGGCTTTATGACCTCTTTCTCTCTCACAGGGAGGCCCCATCTGGCCCCTCCCCAGAACGTGACGTTGCTGTCCCGGAACTTCAGTGTGTACCTGACATGGCTCCCAGGGCCTGGCAACCCCCAGAACGTAATCTATCTTGTGGCGTATCAGAGGTAAAGGGGAGCCTCCAGGCTGGTGGGTGGGGAGACTGAGGAGGTGGGCAGGGGCGGGAGGGGCTTCTCTGGGAAAGTTGTCCTCAGTGTGGGCAGTATTGGCTGGTTCTCTGGGTCCCTGGGGAGATGACATGTGGCAGGTACTTGGAGAGGGCACTTGATAAAGGTCTGGAGGTGGGAATGAAGTTGAATGAAGGACAGCGCACAGGTGATAGGCCTGCCAGTGCTGAAGGTGGATCTTTGAGAAAAGTCAGAGCAGGGCTTGGGTGGAGCTCTGAGGCCCAGCAACGGAATTCGTGGGGGCCTGGATTCAGGGCTTGGAGTTGTTTCAGCAGATAAGGGAGGTCTCATGGGTCTCCTGAGAGCCTGTGTTAGGCATCCGTAGATGATCACCCTTTTCCCCACGGAACCTACGCAGAGCCTTGGGGTCCTTCCCACCTTGGCAGGCCTGGCAGCCGCTACTCATCCAGAGGCCCCTGAAAATGCGAACAGCTTCGCCATCTTTATGCAGAGACGGGAATCATTTGAAGTTCCTTAGTAGGAGAGTAAGATGCTAAAGGCAAACACTCAGGAGGACTGATCCAGGGTTAGTGAGAAGGAGGAAGCAGGACCCACTGCGTGCTAGGCTGCGTGCTAAGGGCCTCCCATGCGGATTTCACTTCTTCCAGTATCACCAGGCAGGACTATTTTAGAAGTGAGGAGACTGAGCTCAGAGAGGTGCCATGATTGCCTGAGGAAGCTGGTGATGGAGTCCAAAGAAAACCCCAAGTCTGTCTAACCCCAGAGCTTGTGCTCTTCCTGTTCCATTATTGTCCCTCTGCCCACAGCATCCAGATGTGAGTGATGGGGGCCTGGCTTGGAGGACAGACTGCTAGAGAGCTTCCAAAAGAAAGGCCTGTATAGAGCTGTGTCAGGAGGCAGGAAGCACTGAACAGGTGTTTGCTGGTAGGTCAGCGCTGAGGCTGTGCATTAAACATATTTCATCTCGCACAGTCCCTGGAGGAAGGGTGCGGCGGCTCCACTCTGCAGGTGGGGTAAACGGAAGCTCTAGAAGTGATGTGCTCAGCATCTCACAGCTGGGCATAGTGGGGCTGGGATAAAGGCCGTCCTCTGGACCGTTACAATATTTTTCTTCTCTTTTATACTTTTTAAACACCTGTGAGAATTGCAAAATGGTAATATTCTAATTGTATTATTTCTTATTTTATAGTTAGAATTGTTTTAGAAAGAGATGCTTTCTCTGTGTAGTATTTGATCTTCAGGGGGTACTTTTCAAATAGACAAGAGAAATGCTTCATTTTTTTCCCCCTTTTATTTACCAGTTTTCAAAATAGTGAATTGGTTCCCTAACATCTCCCAATAGTGATTGATTAATTTTTTTTTTTTACCATTTGAACTCAAGTATTTAAACATATCTGATGGTTTCAATCTGTTGCAACTTATTCTACTCAATGAAGCTTGAATTGTCCCATCTTTGGCCAATGAAAAGGCTCTTCAAGTTGGCTCCTGAGTCCTTTTAACTTGACCTACTGGTCTTTGACATCTTTATTGTTATGACAAGATGTTCCAGGCTCATTCACACAATCCCTAACCTAAAACCTGAAATCGGCCATTTCTCCATTTAGTAGGATATGGTTTTAAAGAGCACAGTCTGTGTGCTTGTTATACTGATCGCTATTTAGCTATTGCTTTTAGATCTTTCTCTGGCTTCTACTGAGACGGCTGATTAAATCTACAAGTCGTGTCCTGGCCCATTTGGCTGAGCAGTTAGAGCGTTGGCCCACAGACCAATGGGTCTTGGGTTTGATTCCCAGGCAAGAGCACGTACGTGGGTTGCAGGTTCGATCTCTGGCCCCAGTAGGGGTTGTGTGGGAGGCAATCAATCAGTGTGGCTCTTTTACATTGATGTTTCTCTCTCTTCCCCTCCCTCCCTTCCTTCCAGTCTATCTAAAAATCAATGGGGAAATATCCTCAGGTGAGAATTAACAAACAAAACAAAAAGTCGCAACTAAGATTTTATCAAAAGATATTTCAGTCCTGGCTGGTTTGCCTCAGTGGTTAGAGCAACAGCCCATAGGCCAAAGAAACTCAGGTTCAATTCCTGTCAAGGGCATGTACCTGGGTTGCATTTTGATCTCTGACCCTGGTTGGGGTTGTGCAAAAGGCAACCAACCGAAATGTCTCTCTCACATTGATATTTCTCTCTCTTCCTCCCTCTCACTCTATCTGAAAAATCAATGGAAAAATGTCCTCAGGTGAGGATTAATTTTTTGTTTGAAAAAGCTATTTTAGCCACCCTCTTGTTCTCTTCAGAATGTGTTTTCTCACTTTCTGCAACATGCATAAGCTGGGAATTGTTCAAATCTTCCATTTTTGCTTAACAGTTCCTTCCACTGATTGCTCTCCTCTATCATTTTACTTAAAGCAGTAAGGAGAAATCAGGTTACATCTTTAATATGTTGCTTAGAAATCTCCTCAGCTAAATACCCAAGTTCATCCCTCTTAACTTTACTTTCCACAAAACACGAGGACAAGATTCAACTGTGTTTTTTGCCTCTTTATACCAAGGATCACCTTTCCTTCAGTTTCTAGTAAGACCTTCCTCCTTTCCACCTGCGATCTCCCCAGAATCACCTTGAACGTTCGTATTCCTACCAACGTTCGTGGTCTTTCCAAGGCAGTCTGGACTTTTTCCAACATGCACCTCAAAACTCTTACAGCCTCCATCCATTAGCCAGTTGCAAAACCACCTCCACAGTTTTAGATATTTGTTACATTAGCACCCTCCTATGGTACCGAAATCTGAGTCCTTTTGACTTAGTTTGCTAGGGCTGCCGTAACATAATATCACAGACTGGGGTGTAGGCAAGGTTACACAACAGAAATTCAGTTCTCACGGTTCTGAGGCTGCCGGTCCAAGATCAAGGTGTTGGCAGGTTTGCTTTCTCTGGAGGCTTCTCTCCTTGGCCTGCAGATGGCCACCTCTTTACTTGGCCTTTTTTCTACATACAAGCATCCTTGGTGTCCCTTCCTCTTCTTAGGAGAATACCGTCTCACTGGTTTAGGGCCCCATCCTTATGACCAAATTTAATATTAGTTACTTCTTTATATAGTAGTAGTAGTCTCACCATATAGTAGTCTCACCGTATTTGTGGTTTTGCTTTCTGGTAGTTTCAGTTACTTTAAGTCAACTGTGGTTCAAAAATATTAAATGGAAAATTCCAGAAATAAACAATTTATAAGTGTTAAACTGCATGCCATTCTGAGTAGTATAATGAAATCTCGAACCATCCCACTTCATTCCGGGACATGAGTCATCCCTTGGTCCAGCGTATCCATGCTGTGTAAGCTACCTACCTACTAATCACTTAGTAGCCGTCATGATTATCAGTTTGGTTATCAGAGACTGAGAGACCACATTCACATAACCTTTATTACAGTATATTGTTATAGTTGTTGTATTTTATTTTATTATTATTATTTTTTTTTAATCTTCACCTGAGGTTATTTTTCCATTTATTTTTAGAGTGGGAGGGAGGGGTAGAGAGAGAGAAGGAGAAATAGAGAGAGAGAGAAACATCAGTGAGAGAGAAACACATCCACTGGTTGCCTCCCACATGACCCTGACCAGGGCCAGGGATCAAACTGCAGGTGAGGTACATGCCCTTGATCAGAATTGAACCCACGACTCTGGCCCGCAGCTGATGATCTAAACGCTGAGCCAAACCAGCCAGGGCTGACGTACTTTGTTATTAGTTATTGTTACTCTTACTGTGCCTAATTTGTAATTTAACCTTTATCATACATATGTATGTATAGGGAAAAAAATTCATATATATAGGGTTTGATACTATCAACAGTTTCTGGCATCCACTGGGGGTTTTGGAACATACAAAACCTAAGGGGGACTACTATACAATTACATTGAGGGTTAGGGCTTCAATATACAAATATGAAGGGAACACAATTTAGTACCTAATAAACTGAATTTCATCAGATTTAAAACTTTTGCTCTTCAAAACAAAGACTGAAGAAAATGAAAAAGCCAGCAACTGAGCAAACATATTCATAATATATACACTGATAAAGGACTTGTATCAAAAATAAAGAACTCCTACATCTCAGTATTAAGAAGACAAATCACCCAAAAAGACTTGAAAAGTCACTTCATAAAAGAAGATATGTGAATGGCCAATAAGCACATAAAAAATGTTCAGTATCATTAGTCATTAGGGAAATGTAAATTATAGCTACAATGAGACAATACTACACTCACTAGAATGGTTAAATTAAAAAGACTGACAATGCTAAGTGCTGACAAGCACTTGGGTAACTAGAACTCTCATACATTGTTGGTGGGAATGTACAAAGGTACACTCCAGTTGGAGAACAGCTTGCTAGTTTCTTATAGTTACACATTCAAGTTCCCAAATCTCCCAGTTTCTATTTCTAGATCTTTACCCAAGAGAAACAAAAATGTCTGTACAAAGACTTGTACATGAATGTTCACAGCAGCTGAATTCACAACAGCCCTGTTGTGGACTGAATTATTTACCCTCAGCCCCATATATATGTTTATATGTTAAATCCCCAATCCCCTATGTGACTGTATTTGGAAATAGGGCCTTTAAAGAGGTAATTAAGATTAAATTTGGTCATAAGGGTGGGGACCCAACCCACTAAGATAGTTGTCTTTATGAGAAGAGAAAGGGCCACCAAGGATGCTCACACACAGGGAAAAGGCCATATAAGGACACAAGGAGAAAGAAAGTGGCCATCTGTAAGCCAAGGAGCTGACCTCAGGAGAAAACAAACTTGCAGACACCTTGATCTTGGACTTCCAGGTTCCAGAGCTGTGAGAAATACATTTCTGGTGTTTAGGCTACCTAGTCTGGTATTTAAAAAAAAATTTTTTTTTCTTCTTTATTGATTTTTAGAGAGAGAGGAAGGGAGAGTGAGAGAGAGATAGAAACATCGATGAGAGAGAACATCGATGGCTG